CTCAAGATAATCAAAGACGCTTAAATATGAAAATTTGTGTCAGTAAAGTATCCATCAATTCTGTCAATGATATCCTTGAAATAAAATAAATTAATTATATATGGTATTTTGCAGGAAAATTATGTTATTATAAAAAAAACATTGAAAGATGAGTAATTACATATATGCATAGAAAATTAATAAGATCTGATCATAATTAGTTTCTTATAACTAGCTTGATACAAACTTTTAATAAGATTTTCCCTTTGTTTTCTTTTTTTGTCAACTTATTAATAAAATTTTGGTTTGACAAGAAAAAGAAGAAGAAACCTTTCAAATCTGAATGAATTAATTATTAGTGACATTTTAAAAAAATCCCAGGTCAAAGTGATAATCTTCACCCCTTTTTTTCCTCTCTTTGACAAACCGATAATTAAAAAAAAAATTTAATCGTATGGAGAATAAAAGAGCTAAACGTTGTCGTATAACTACGCGAGGCATATATAAATAGAGCAACCAAATAGCCAACGTAGTAGAGATTTCACAACCTTCACTTGCTCTCTTTTTCTCCCCGAAGAATCTGGTTCGTTTCAATCTTCAATTTCCTCTCTTCTTTCTTTATTCTTCTTTTTCAATAATCATCTCGAATATAATAACTTCAACTATCTATGGTTGCTTGATTTTTCCGCTGCTTTTTTTTTTGTGTGTGAATAATTGTAACGATTTTTGTGTTTTTTGGTTTCGATGAAGCCAGAGGGAAACATGGCGACTGGTGGTTTTCTCGAGGATATTAAGAACGAGAATGTTGATTTGGTATGAATAATTTCTTCTTTTGTTTCACTGATCCTGTTATTAACTTCGTTGTGTGTTGTTTAGAATTTTGTTTGATGAATCTATTTACGAAACTTTATAGTTTGATCCTTTCTAAAAAAAACTATATAGTTTGACTATGTACTTTATATATTTTCCTTGAACGATTCAGGTTCTACTTCTACATTTTTAGCTTGGTGATCATTAAATTATTATTTATTTCTTTCATGTTTAGCTCGAAATTTTTCTATTT